CCGAATTGAACTGTATCACACTGTCTTTGGTAAAGCTGCTTTTGAAGTTGTGTTCATTTTGAGGAGCTTTTACAACATTGACAGTTATTGAACGAAATTGAATCAACGTAAAACTCAATTGATTTGAATAATGAAACTATTGTCTCCTCTAAAGTTGCTTTATAGATGGGTAGAATTTGTTTCATAGTTGATGAACTTAGTAACAGTGACACTATAACCTGAAATTGAATATTTTTGGGGCGGACTGTTCCTTTGAATTAATATTTTCATTACATTTTTAATTTTGTTTTCAGCATACAAATCCATCATTAAAGAGGTTTTACTTTAAGCCATTGTTTATGGCCAAAATACGAGTCTATGATCAGTAATAGCTCTTCCTCCAGTGAAAAGGTAAATACTCTGTTGTCCTCTCGCATCAAAATCCCCCCACATATTTGTTTAGAACTGTTTTGTCTTGTAAACAGTTCTTGATCTGTGCATATTTCTCTCCTGATTCAGACACGACCACTTTTTTCACTGGGGGAAAAAAATGGATAAAGCACCCGTATTTTTGCCGAAATGTTCCTATTATGGGTAATGAAAGGTTCATATTTTGGTTTTGGGAGTCCCCAATAACAGGATGACATGCATGCAAGGTCAAAAAACACTTTCATTGTCTTATAATATGCATTTATTTTTACCTTACTTGCGCAACGACTCCCAAACGATTCGCTCAACGATAAATTTTTCCAAACCCCTCCTTTGCGTGACGCTAATCTGCGGTGATTGGTCCGATTGGTCTCGTTTTCATTTAATCTTGCCTGTAATGCCATAGACTGTATAAAAACATGGACGTAGTGTCCGTGACGTCACCCGTAGTTTTGTGAATAGCGTTTTTGAAGCTCAAAGTGGGCGGAGCCGGCCGTCGCCATCTTGGCAGCGCATCACTCCCAGATAATCAAAAATGGGCAAAAAGGCGGGAGCTGGTTGCTGAAGCCACGCCCACCTAGCTCGACGGCAGGCAATCCACCTGTCACTCAAGTGGCCACGCCCTTAATCATGCAGAACTTTAAGGCTTAATATAATTTAAACGGATGAGTTATAAAAAGATTCACCCCCCTCACAGTTATCATGAAGGGCAAAATTAGCTATATAGACCAAAATCATTTTTTGAACCAGGATGTAAACGTTTTTTTCTGCTGTAAATTTGGGCATTTTAACATGGGGAGTCTATGGGATTGACTCCCTTTTGCAGCCAGCCTCCAGCGGCCAGTTGACGAATTACAGTTTAAGTCACTTCCGTGTTGGCTTCACAAGAGAGAGGATGTTGCCGCTTGGTAATGCCTGATAAAGCAGCATTTGTGAGCGCAATGCTGCTTTGTGTACAGCGTTACCGGGGAAACCGCTATTTTACAGCTCCAAAAGCTGCACCTGAATTTACTTTTCATTCAGACCAGAAGTGGGCGGGCAATATGCTAATGTTCCATGTTGACGTCAACATGTAACGCTTGGGATTAGTTTGAAAAACGACTCGTTTCAATGATTCAGAGTCCACTCCTTCTTTTGAGAGACAATAACTTTATACACGGTGCACTTTCAGTTTTAAAACTTTTCAGGAAAGTTTTTTTTAAGCTTTCAGGACTTTTCAGTTTTAAAACTACACACGGCATGAAAGGTAATTTTAAAGATAAAAACATTTTCACTTTAACTTTTTTGACTTTCAAGTTAAAAACATCTTAATAACTGACAATGTATTAATGTATTTATTACAAACATGCAGCTTTTTGCTTCACAATGCAATAATTGATGGACTGGAGTGGTGTGGATTATAGTGATGATTTTATCAGCTGTTTGGACTCTCATTCTGACGGCACCCATTCACTGCAGAGGATCCTCTGGTGAGCAAGTGGTGTAATGCTACATTTCTTCAAAGAAACAAACTCATCTACATCTTGGATGGCCTGGGGGTGAGTACATTTTAATCATTCAGACCAGAAGTGGGCGGGCAATATGCTAACATGAAACGGCTTGGGATTAGTTTGAAAAACGACTCGTTTCAATGATTCAGAGTCCACTCCTTCTTTTGAGAGACAATAACTTTATACACGGTGCACTTTCAGTTTTAAAACTTTTCAGGAAAGTTTTTTTTAAGCTTTCAGGACTTTTCAGTTTTAAAACTACACACGGCATGAAAGGTAATTTTAAAGATAAAAACATTTTCACTTTAACTTTTTTGACTTTCAAGTTAAAAACATCTTAATAACTGACAATGTATTAATGTATTTATTACAAACATGCAGCTTTTTGCTTCACAATGCAATAATTGATGGACTGGAGTGGTGTGGATTATAGTGATGATTTTATCAGCTGTTTGGACTCTCATTCTGACGGCACCCATTCACTGCAGAGGATCCTCTGGTGAGCAAGTGGTGTAATGCTACATTTCTTCAAAGAAACAAACTCATCTACATCTTGGATGGCCTGGGGGTGAGTACATTTTAAGCAAATTTTCAGTTTGGGGTGAACTGTTCCTTTAAGAACCTTGTCGTCTCTGTCTCATTAATTGCTGGATGCAGATCGGAACATCTAAAGTGTGAACCTGAAACTTGCTTTTCCCACTCAGTTCATATTCATTGAAATCCCAGAAAGGCTCCTGGTTTAAATGGAGATGGATCACACTCTGATTATGCCTGTTATGTCTTCAAGTAATGTGTAACAGTCCCAATTTAACAGACATCTGTACCAGAGACACAAACGCAGCACTGAGGCCAGCCGTGAGCTTCCAGGACCATCCAAAGCAAATGTTGATCATGATCCTACAGAAATCATTCTAATATGCTGATTTTCTGCTCAAAAAACATGTATTATTATTATTAATGTTTATAACATAATAATCGAAAACAGTTGACATTTTGAAAACATTTTCATGTTGAAAACAATTTCATATTTTTGTGGACACTGATACATTTCTCTTTCAAGGATTCTTTGAAGAATAAAAAAACAACAGCATTTATTTGAAATAGATTTTTTTTTGTATCCATATAAATGTCTCTACTGTCATTTTTGATCAATTTAATGCATCTTTGCAGAATATTAATTTCCTAAAAAATAATACTGACCCCAAACTTTTGAATGAAAAAAAGAAGGAAAAAAAGGAATTTACTACAGCTGCATTGTTGTAATGGGTAATATAGTGCCATAACTGAGTGTATTACCCCTCTTTTTTGAGGATATGAATTGCTCCAGTTATCAGGAAAAGAATATCCGTGTACAATACATCCAGAAACTTCAGTATCCCCTAGGGATGCACGATATATCGGCCACCATATCGGTATCGGCCCATATCGGCTCATTTTTTCTGTTATCGGTATCGGCCTGATAAGAAAATTTGGCCGATATCTTAAAGCCGATAAATAATGCATTATTTCCTTCAGAGACACTTCAGATGCGCGCTGTTCGTTTGCAGCCTTTTGTGCAATTGTACATTGTAATATTGTGTTTATTTGATGTATATCTGATTTATCTCATATAGAATGCGATTGGTTAAGTTAAAAGAGCGCTTCAGTTTACCAGTGATCATCTTTAGCTCAGCACACGCAGCCCAAACAGCAGTGCACAACATTAATAACTATGATTGGGAATGTCGTGTATATAACATTCTAATGAGAACATTATTATAATAAAACGTTGTGAATTCTTTGGGTTTAGTTGCTGTGTTTCAGCGCGTTGTTATGGGAAGAGCGCATCCACAACAGGATCACACATTCTGACTATAGCATGCAATAACTGCGTCATTTTGTACATATATAAGTTGTAATATTATGTTTATGTTGTATTAATATTAATCTCAGGATGCATTTCCTTGAGTTAAATAAGCTGCCAGCAAAACGCTTCAGTTTACCGTGTTCATTCAGCTCTTCAGCTTCAGCTTGAGCTGCAGCTCAATGGCTGCTATTTAAAACAGTGGTATTAATTTGTTACTTTTTCAAAATCATTGATATATTATTAATAACAACAACCACTTGTATTTTTCTCTTATTATTTTCATCAACAATATGGTTTAGTAATTAAAATCATTTAATTATTGTCCGTGCAGAGGCTATTCCGTTTTATTGATCTATGGCGCATTCATTTTGATTCTTTACACGTGTAATGATGTCCAGTGACTTGTTTGCATTATTTCTGCATTATTTTATTTATTTGTAAGACTTTTTTATGACTAAATTTGGTAATGGGAGCGTAAAAATATTTTTAAAACGTACACCGTTCAAACTAGGCTGCTTATGTTGAAGTGTTTGGGATGTGGCTTTTAATGATGAGACCTTTTTTGTAATCAGGCTCTCAAAAAGTATATAACAATTTGGATATAGATTTATCGGCCAACATATCGGTTATCGGCTTTCAAAAATAAAGAATAATCGGTTATCGGTATCGGCCAAAATTTTCATATCGGTGCATCCCTAGTATCCCCCACTGAAAACCTTTCCCAGCTGCATTTGATTAAGCAACACAAAAGCTAAATAAATTATCCCAGCACATGCACGCTACTCAAAGAAAGCTTGATCTAGCACATTGGCAAACACTTTTGAGCATCCGTGGCTGTTTCTTTGGTTTAAAGCTTTAAAGCACTTAGCATCAAGCAATATTAACTGCTTACAAATGTACTGTACTTAGACACTGAGACCCTATTTCGTTTTAAACGCATTCGACTTAAACATACAACTCTGTGTGATTAATTAAGGCACAGAAATTTAAATTACCCTAAATTAGTTGCATTAACTTGAACATAGATGCTTTACAAAAATATTCCCTCTATGACTCAAGTTCCAAATACATTAATTAATCTATGGCTTTTATAAGTTACTTTAAATCCTTTTATCAAATACGTATAACTTAAATGCTTAAGTTAAAAAAAAGCACAAAAAGTGATATTTGATCACAAACTGTCATGCAGATGTTGTTCAGTGCTTTCAATGATATATTAAAAACATGCCAAGACAAGTAAATAATAACATAATGCTAATGAAACACTTGATCCATCTCTATTCCTTCAATTCCAAATAATCCTGCCTATGACAATGAATCCCAGAGGTCGAAAGGTCCAGAATAATGTATTACAACAACAAAGTCCAATGTAAAAAATACTTCCCTTTCAACAGGCTCATAAATATACTCATGTTAGCGAGGGAAAGTAGCTCAGCGAGACAGGATGAAACATCCTAGTAAGGTTTGTGCTTTAAAACCATGCTGTTTGTTTGAAGGTTCCACGTTTACGTAATTGTCCGTTCAATATGGCCGCCACACGCCTTCGTCCATTCTACCAGCAGGATTGAGAAGAGTGGGGGAGTTGCTATGACTTCCGTCTGCCTCCACCCCCCCACCTCCATCGGCCTGGACCGGGAGGTTGGGGTTGACCAGGCTGGTTCCCGTGGATGCGCTTGTACAAGGCGGCATCATCCGGGTGGGCGATCGGTCTCCTCCTGGAACCATAGAGAACTGGTAGGAGCCCGAGGAAGCGCCGTAGTAGAGATAAGGTGTGCTGCTGCTCTGGAAGGGTCCGCTTTGGCTCTGGGTGGAGCCGGGGTACGGCGGGGGAAGGTAGGTGTGGTAGTGAGCGCTGCCGAGTGACATGCCGGTGGTGACGGGGGTGGGCGTGTATGTGAAGGTGGCCGGGTAGTGCATTCTGGGACTGGAAAATCGGCTCTCGGTGAGTGAGGAGAAAGCGGGGAACTGACGCTCAAACTGGCCAGGAAAGGGACTCAAATCTGTCGAACCTACAGAAAACAAAGGTTGAGGTTACTTTTTATAGAAGTATGGAAGAATTTGAAAACAGATATTCCAGCAATGAACAATCATGACAACAACCACTTCATTTAACTACAACCCTGTTTAACTAAGTGCATAAACATAGCCAGTATGTTAAAACTGTGTTTTTAGGAAATATAGTTTGACCAACTAGAAGTCATGGGGTAATTACTAATTAGTCTTATTTTTTTGGATTCAAATGAGACTCGAAGAAAAAAAAATGTATATATAAAGAAATACTATTTAAGATAGACTAAGCAGTTTATGCAACCGGTCCCAAAAGTTAAAGGAGTTTAACAGAAGTTTAAAGGAGTTATTTTTTTTAATTATGTGACTTCATTTTTTTATTTATTGTATTTATTTGATAAAACACAATAAAAACTGATATATTTATTACAATTTAAATAACTGCTTTCTATTTGAATATAATTTCAAATGTAATTTATTCCTGTGATGACAATGCTGAATTTCAGTCTTTAGTGTCACATGATCCTTCAGAAATCATTTTAGTATGCTGATTTTCTGCTCAAGAAACTTTTTTATGTGCTACTTCATAATTTTTGTGGAAAACATGATGCATTATTTTTTTCAGGATCACATCATAATTGAAAATGTCAAAATAATAGCATTTATTTGAAATAAATATTTTATTATTATTACTGCCACTTTTGATCAAATGACTGTATCCTTTCTGAATAAATGTATTCATTTATTAAAAAATATGTATAAAATATAAAAAATGTTTTCACAAATCCAGTGCATTTTAAACTAAACTAAGAAAAAAAAATGTATATGACAGAAAGTAACTATTAAAAAGACACCATTAACTTTAAACATGCAGAGGAGGACAGTTTATCGATTAGTTGGCTTCACTTCATTGTGGTTTTTCCTCTTTGTCACAGACAAGTTCATGTGCATGTGTATTCATGTGTGCGGTTATATGTCTCAGTTCATTTGTGTCTCCGGGGTATTTATATGCCTCTGTATGCTGTGTGCATGTTTAAATTGTTCCTGTGCATCCAAAAGTGTGTGTGTGCATCTGCATTGGTTGCCGCACATAAAACACAACTAGGATGCATAATCGGTCACACATTTGGAAACGTTTAGAGGGGTGCAAAGCAGCATTGTTGCGAGAGAGACAGACGTCTGCACTGTTGTGGGCTCCTGGTATCTTCAGCATTATAAACCCAGGCAAAAACTGTCCATCTGCCCTTCTGTCCTTAACATATTCTTTATTTCCCTCCAAAAATCAGAAACCGCTAATGGTCTGTAGCGAGCGCTAGTGCCAAGGGGTAGAGGAACAAAAAGAAACGGCCTCGCCTCCCTGGCGCGGAGCTGTTTTCATAAATCACACGGCGTCTTTCTTGTCACCATGTCTGCGCCTGTGGGTCGACTGGGTGGCATGGTTAAACGTGGGTGATTTGCGGAGGCACGGCTTGTCGCTAACGCTAGTCGTGTCTCCTTTTCCCCTCTACGCCCATCCCTTTTTTCTTTTATATTCAAAATCTTTGGTTTGAGCAGCTGACGATAATGGTTCTCTCGCCCCGGGCTATACAGAGTGCCTGTGCTCTGAATAACAGACTGAATGATAAAAGCAAAAAAAGTTATTTACATACATTCTCTGCTAGTCACCAAAAATCCATAGACAAGATGGCGCTGGTCTGGAGAACAGATGCTATGTCGGTAAAACTAATGATTTATTTGGCAAGAATGATTCGTTTCAGGTGAACCAAACAATTATAGCTTATTTACAAGTTGAAGTCATGTCTACATGAGGAATGATGTCACCATTCAACACAGTGCAGTAGTTTTTACTCTTTGTTTGCTACAATGCTAAAGCTAAACCTATAACTTTCTAAATTTGACAGGCAAGTACATAAACACATATGCTTCAAGCTCGATTTCACTTTTTTCGGAAATGAATCAGACCTATAATTCATATTGCAACCAGTATTGCTAAAGCTAAAACTCTTTTTAAAAATATATTATATTTATATATATTTAGAATTATTTAGAATTTATTTAGATTTTTACAATTACTATTTAATTATTTAGAATTATTAGAACTATTTAGAAATATTGTCCAAACAAAAACTAATAAATGACAAAGCACATTAAACTAAAAATGTTAATTTAAAGTAAAATAAAATATTAAATATAACATGCAAAATGAAAACATAAAAATAAAACAGTTAATTCAAAATATAAATAAAACCTATGACAATACATAAGACTAAAATAACAAGGTTTTTTTGTGTCAAGTGCTGCTATAGTAAATGTTAGCATAATCTGTTGTCATTTACAGATAGTTTTCTCTCTCAGATCTAATACTGCTCTATGGCAGAGCAGCAGTTTGAAGAAAAAAAAAGTTTGTTAAAGGTAAAGTGTATATTTTTTTCAGTGCTAAAATATAATTGGTAGACTGATTTCCCTTAAGATCAACAGCAGTTTTTTTTCGGAAATCTTTGAATTGAAGTTCTTTTTGCAAATTTGCTTGCTCACAGAAAAAAAGTACACACTTTACCTTTAAAGCTGACATGATCTGAATAACAACAACCCAAGTTTAATAGCACAAACATTGCGGTAACTCTATCGCCCCCTTGAGTACGGAAGTATATTACCACTGCTGCAACACAAAATGTTGCAAAGACTAATACTCCTGAAGAGTTTTGTATCTGCAATAGACAACAACAATGCATATTTGCTCTGTTACTCTTACAGTTAAGTTGCGGGAGACATCAAAGAGCCGTGTCCTTATCTCACACCGAACCTATTATTAACAAAAGCTCAAATGGTAAGCATCAAATGAAAGGATGATATACCTAAACTAATTAAACACGACAGGCGGGTGGCAGGCGTCCAGAAGCTGGCAGCCAGCGCTCAGGTGAGAGAGATTCTTGTTTAATCACTTTAAGCCTCTCCTGGTTCTCAGGAATGGATGAGGGTGTAGTATGGCAGTAAATGAGAGAGAATGAAAACACTTACCTGGCACTGAATCAAACAGGTGTTTGGAAATGGAAACTTATCTGTCTACATTTATTCTTTAAAGGGGACCTTTCTGGGTGTGTTGCAGGGCACATGAGGACAAATTAGCTTATGGGGTGCAAGTCGGGCACCGAGTGGTCTTCCATTCCCCAAAGGTTCTCTGGGAAGCGTAATGCTATAAAGCGGCTTTATTTGCCCACCACTGGCCTGTTATTATGTCTTGGTCTGTTATTAACAATATACTACGCAGGATCAAAGCCATGGAAAGAGGAGCAAAGGAAACCTTTTTTTCTCTCCCCCCTAGTTTTAAAAATACACTCATGGTGCAGTCCAATTTTAAAAACCGTCTCCGTTTACATATATACAGCACTATTAGCTAATAAAAATCGAGCGAATTTGAGACTGTGTTTCTAACGAATTATGACACTGAAATTTAATGCTATGGTTTGTTAAATATGACTGACAAACCATTACAGAAAAATGATCATTTCAGAAAATAGCCCTCCCAAAATGAAGCCCCGCTTGTTACTTTTTTTTCATGAGTGTTTTTCATGAATCTGATTGATTATTCATTCAACACATTAAGGAGTAAATTCCCCAAAACATTTGCAGCACTTTTGTGCACATTTCGGTGTCTTTCACTAACCATCCATAATACAGTTAAACCCAGTTCTAAATTAAAATAAATTAAAATTATATATAAATATTAAAAATACAAAAATGCACATAAAATGAAAAAAAATTTAGCTACAAAAATTAAAAAAAATATTAAAACCATAATAGCACATAAATAATACTGTATGCAACAAGTTTTTTTTTTGCATTATGCAATGTGTCAAGAGCTATAGAACACATTAGCATAATCTGTTATCATTTATGGCAGCATAAAAAAGCAAGTTTGTTAAAGGTAAAGTGTGCCTTTTTTTCAATGCTGTTAAATTAATGGCAGTTTTTCAGAAACCTGTTTGTTATTATTTTTCGCAATTCTGCTTAGTGGCACATTCAATATTTAGTATTTAAATTCAGTTACTGTGATTCTTTTGAGCACAAACCAAATTCAGTGCCATTTAAATGATGAAATGTAGTAAATTTCCTTTTAGGAGACATTTAAAAAATTAGATTTGAGATTTTATTTAAATACTGTAAATATCTCTTGAAATATTTTGATTTTTAAGTAGTAAATTCACCTTTTAATTTTAACAAAAGTTGTATAAACGAAGCTGCATTATTAACACAAATCCCCATCTTTCTAAACTGCAAACCACCATAAAACATGTGACCTCCCCGCTGCCCACTGCAGTGTCTGACGCGAGGGGTAGGGGGCGCACCTGCTGTAGGGCTGAGGCTGGAGGTTACCTGGGAGGCGTCTGGGCACATCGCTGATGGAGGGCAGCCCCGTGGCCCGGCTGGACGAGAGCGGGGTGGTGGAGTGCACAGACGGGGAGGCCATGGGACTCAGGTACGACGGGTACGCCTGGTCATATGACCAAGGTGGGGAAGACTGAGCCTGGCGTGGATCTAAAGGTACAAAAGAAAAGAAAAATTAAAGAAAGCAAAGTAGTTAAAGGCATAGTCCACCCAAAGATGAAAACTCAACATTTACTTGCATGCTGGTTCAAACCTGTATGATTTCCTTTCCTCTGTGGAACACAAAATAGGAAATTTCAAGAATGTTGGTAATTAAACCGTTTCGGTTCCCATTGACTTCTATTGTTTGCACAAAAAATACAATGGAAGTCAAAGGGAAATGAAGTTGTTTAGTTAGTCAGCATTCTTCAGAATATCTTCTATTGTGTTTTGCAGAGGAAAGAAATAGGTTTGAAAAACATGAGGTATATATATATATATTAGTACGTATCATCTGGGGGGTTTCTCACCAAACATTGTTATAAGTTAATTAATCAGTATAACCTGTCATTAATTTAATTAAAACGGACAATTCAACTGTTCTATTTATATTTGTCTGTCTCATATAGAGTCTTTGTGTGGTAAGCAAATACAATGTGATCCCTTGGGCAAAGCATTTAAATGAAGGCATTCTCAAATGTTTGTCTGAGATGACATATTTCATGCCTCATAATTCAAGCTTTCTGTCATGCCAAGTATCAATTTTAAAGCGGGCAAATAATCGCTAAAGTCAACAAAATACGGTGCATTCCTTCTCAGATTCAGTCCCTTGGCTTGCACACGGTACAGTAACAGGACCCAGAGTACAGGACATGCGCTCTCAGAGCAGTAATTAAGGACAGGTGATATCCTGTTCTCTCACAGTGACACAACGCACTGCCTTAGGCTGTCCACACTCGGTTTCCACTTGTCCATCATGTTGCAGTGTGCGATTTCAGCTTAGATAAATCACTTTGTGCTTAGACGAATAGACATTACTGTAACGGTGACAGACACCAGATATGCTGAAATGCTTGGGAGGATGAATAAACAATCGCTGTTCGTAAAAAAGAAACAACAATTCTGACTGACAGGTTAGCGGCGACTTTAAGTATCATTTACTTCTGAAAAACATGAGGTATATATATATATATATATGTATATATATATATATATATATATTAGTACGTATCATCTGGGGGTTTTCTCACCAAACATTGTTATAAGTTAATTAATCAGTATAACCTGTCATTAATTTAATTAAAACGGACAATTCAACTGTTCTATTTATATTTGTCTGTCTCATATAGAGTCTTTGTGTGGTAAGCAAATACAATGTGATCCCTTGGGCAAAGCATTTAAATGAAGGCATTCTCAAATGTTTGTCTGAGATGACATATTTCATGCCTCATAATTCAAGCTTTCTGTCATGCCAAGTATCAATTTTAAAGCGGGCAAATAATCGCTAAAGTCAACAAAATACGGTGCATTCCTTCTCAGATTCAGTCCCTTGGCTTGCACACGGTACAGTAACAGGACCCAGAGTACAGGACATGCGCTCTCAGAGCAGTAATTAAGGACAGGTGATATCCTGTTCTCTCACAGTGACACAACGCACTGCCTTAGGCTGTCCACACTCGGTTTCCACTTGTCCATCATGTTGCAGTGTGCGATTTCAGCTTAGATAAACCACTTTGTGCTGAGACGAATAGACATTACTGTACCAGTGACAGACACCAGATATGCTGAAATGCTTGGGAGGATGAATAAACAATCGCTGTTCGTAAAAAAGAAACAACAATTCTGACTGACAGGTTACCGGCGACTTAAAGGATAATTTACTTAATTCATGTGGTTTTGCGTGCAGGAGATATCAATAAAACAGGAACATAAGAAACGTGCACATTAGTAAATTAACGTTGCCTGGGAAACTGATTAATTACAAAAACATGGACTTTTTTAACATCAAGATAAGTTAAAAAATTTTGTATATAGAGAGTGTGAGGAGTTGTGGCTGCTAAGAGATCCATCCATTCTTCAATCCACTTGTCTTTTTTATATCTATCTTTGTCTTTGTAAATACTTAAAAGCAAGGCTATCTATCTATCTATGCAATCTCATACCTGTAATCTGAGTCTGCCCCTGAGGTGTGAAGGAGTTGGGGCTGCTAAGTGAGGGCCGTGGCGTTTGTGTTGGCACAGTAACCCGCATGGTGGTCTGCCGGATGCGCTCCAGTTCACTGAGACGGTCAGAGAACAGACCAGCCTTCGGCGAGTCATCCAACTTCGGCCTGTGCCCTGCAATCAACATACTGCCTTTAATAAAAAAATTCTCAAAAAAATAACAAAACAAACATATTTCTAACATGACACACCACAAATGTGTCGGATATCACAGCAATGTTACTCTAACTTCTGCTTCTCAAGGGCTCCATGTAAAAACAAGCAACATGTAGTGTTGTAGTGTCCAGTTCTTTCGAATCATTCAAAAAGACTCGCAAACTACTGGATTGAGGTAAATGTGTGCCAAATACATAAACGTAAATAGTTAAATATGATATACATCTATCCATTCTCCAAACCCTCTGTCCTCTTTCTAGGGTTGTTTGGATTCTGAAGCCTATCCCAGTGTAATTAAATATGATAAATGTATTATATCATACCACATTTGCACCTTAAATGTATTCATGGACAACAATAATTTTATTATATTATGTACAGTAAGTCCAAATATATTAATACAGAACTTATATTATTAGAAAGTATATCCATCCATCCGTCCGTCTGTCCGTCTCTGTTTGTTTGTCTGTCTGTCTGTCTGTTTATCTATCTATCTATGTATGCCCCTTTTTACAATATGTAATATAAGTCTCTGGTGTCCCCAGAAAATGCCTATTTTTTTGTGGAAGCATAAACACACTGTTTTTCGTGCCTGTTTTTTTAAATGCAAATGAGCTGCTGCTCCCCGCCCCCTTTTCCAGAATAGAGCTGCGCCAATACAGCTCGGACCTGCTAAAAAAACATGTTTTGGTTCTGATTATCATGTTTATCGCGCTGAAATCATGCGTTTTAAACCATATGAGTTTAAACTTCTGATATACGGTTTTCTGAGAGCACACATCCGAAGCACACGGACAGAAAGCGGCTGTCACAGCATGTGAGTACTAAACTAAGTTCTCATTCACACACAAGTTTGTTACAAACACGCATGAGCTACAAAAAAAAACAGTCGGTTATGTCGGTGTCTGTCTGTCCATCTATCTATCTATCTATCTATCTATCTATCTATCTATCTATCTATCTATCTATCTATCTATCTATCTATCTATCGATCTATCGATCTATTCATGTTTATCGCGCTGAAATCATGCGTTTTAAACCATATGAGTTTAAACTTCTGATATACGGTTTTCTGAGAGCACACATCCGAAGCACACGGACAGAAAGCGGCTGTCACAGCATGTGAGTACTAAACTAAGTTCTCATTCACACACAAGTTTATGTTACAAACACGCATGAGCTACAAAAAAAAACAGTCGGTTATGTCGGTGTCTGTCTGTCTATCTATCTATCTATCTATCTATCTATCTATCTATCTATCTATCTATCTATCTATCTATCTATCTATCTATCTATCTATCTATCTATCTATCGGCCTATCGGCCTAAAATTATATATCATTTTTATACAGTAACATAACCCCCCCCCCCACACACACACACACACACACATTAACACATATAATTTACTGTAAAAAGATTTTAGTGGGTCTTGAAATTGATTATATCTCCTAGCATGAAAATGTTAGCCAGTCTATGATGTGTATGTATGGCATAGGGTTGACTATGAGACAGGTGTTCCATTTCCCCTCTTTATAAGAGCTTTCATTATGCCCCATGGCATTTGAGTCTTTCAAGCCACAATCTACCATGACTTTGCCATATGGAATCAAACCGAATCTAATTTCATTTCCATAAAAAAAGTTTTAAATATTACATATTCCATATCCTCAAAATATCTATTAATCTGTCCCATCAGGGCAGGGATTTGGCTTTGACAATGAAGTGCTATGCCTGGCATATAATAACATTTTGTTGGCACACATTGAACACTCAACCTTCCCAGACAAGACTGAACCCATATAATACAAGTCCGCATGTGCCTCCTCTGTGTAGGACGCATGATGACACTGGCCAGCACCTTTCTGGAACACTATAACAAGAGCGTTTAAGAGTCCATAGCCTCAAGTCTATTCTCGGCAAATTAGAGGAGGGATAAGACAGCAGCGCGGCCCAATACACAACTAGCCCCTTTTTCCACATTAAAATGGCCCAGTGTCTCCCTCAGACTGCAGCAGTTTTTTTCTGAGACGGTTGTAAAGTAAATATCAAACAGGAGAAAGAGAAAAACTCCTGCTGGAGTTGGCAGCGCTCCAGTTGGCACCGACAGAACAGGTTACCTCTATATCTTGACTAACCGACCTGCGCCAGAAGAACAAAGAGAAGAAGCAAACACTCAGAAAAGTTTCATAATCAAATCGTTAAAGCACTTTAGAATGTCTACAATATGAACTACTGTATGAATCAGTATTTAAGGTGTCATTTTTTAGTATCTTAATATGTAAAGACAGCTATAAGTAAATCATAGGTGCTGCTAGACTCTATTTAGAGAAGGAATCTTTCATCTCAGCTCCCCCTAAAAATCTGAGCTTAACTGTCAGCACCTTTACAAATCTGTGATTATGTTATTTCTCTTAACGTTCGGTGTCTGCAGTGAGTTATCTGAGGTTATTTCACTCTCAGTTCTTCACAAAAAGAAAAAAGTACTTAGTATTTTTGTCTTGTTTTCCATTACAATTTTTTTTACATTCTTAAATCAAGACATTTACTTAAACCGATAGCTCACCCAAAAATGAACTCATTTACTCACCCTCAAGTTGGTCTACACCTGTATGAATTTCTTTCTTTTGGTAAACACAAAAAAGGGTAATTTGAATAACATGGGTTACCGAACAGTTTACGGTAGCCATTGAATTCTATGTATGGAAAAAAATACTATGGAAGCCAATGGCTTCCGTCAACAGTTTGGTTACCAACATTCTTCAAAATATATTTTGTGCTCAACAGAGGAAATTCATACAGGTTTGAAATAACTTGAGGGTGAGTAAATGATGACACAATTTTCTTTTTTTTGGTAACTATGCTTTTAAGTGTCCTGAAAAAAATCCTGAATTACTTAAATATCTTGAAAAGTTTCATGCATAAAACAAGAAAAAAATATGTCAGTGGGGTAAGAAAAATAATCTTGTTTTCCCTTCGAATTAACTCTATGTACTCCACTGACAGATCTTTTTGTTGCTGTTGTTTATATATAAACTCACTTAATTTTGATAGATTTTCAGAAAACCAGTTTATTTTCATAAGATGTTAACTGATAGCCTGGAGTCATGTGGATTACTTGTGGATTATTGTGATGTTTTTATCAGCTGTTTGGACTCTGACGGCACCCATTCACTGCAGAGGATCCACTGGTGAGCAAGTGATGTAATGCTAAATTTCTCCAATTCTGTTCCCATGAAGAAACAAACTCATCTAAATCACAGATGGATTGAGAGTGAGTAAATTGTTTTTTTTTTTTTACATAATTTTAATTTTTTAACTATTCCTTTAATATCTTAAAGGAGACATATTATGCCCCTTTTTACAATATGTAATATAAGTCTCTGGTGTCCCCAGAATGTGTCTGTGAAGTTTCAGCTCAAAATACTCCACAGATCATTTATTATAACATTTTGAAAATGCCTATTTTGAACGGAAGCAAAACACGAGAAGGGTCTGTCTGCGGACTGCAAGAGAGGGGCGTAACTGGAAGGGGGCGTAACTTGAACAAGGGGGCATAACTTGAACAAGGGGGCGTAACTTGAAGTTGTCCAAATCACACAGAACCACTCGAGATGTCAAAACGAGATGTTGTTGGGCTGCGTTCGAAACCGCATACTTTTTAAGTTATAGGCACTTAATTTCTTTAAGTACTTACTTACCGAGCGCTATGAGAGTGTACAGCCTGAAGTACAGCCTGAATGCGTTAAGTATGAATGCGATTCGGATATCATCCACTATGTTGACGTTATCATGTGACCTACGACGTTATAACAAGCGCAACAACTTAAAGTGGTGGTTGACTGTTTTTTCTAGGCTTGATTGTGTTTATGGGGTGCAGTCTAACATGTGTTAATGCTTCGTTTGTTAAAAAATGCATTATTTTTTCGGTTATGTCTGTGAAGGTAAACAGCTGGGAAATAAATCGCATTTATATTTTAGATCTATGTGGCAGCGTAATATACAGTAAATAAATCAATAAATCCACTGCTCTCTTGTCTCCTCTGAGGCTGGTGACTCTAAATAGTGTTCTGTGCTTGTCTGTGCAGCCAAAGACAGAACAGTTAGCATGTTTTGCTCAAACTTTCACCATGGCATTAGAGCTGGTACACCGTTGTCGCTTGCGAAATGAAAATGACGGCGCCGTGGGTGGAAATTTACAGATTAAGGGGCAGTAATATTATAATGAGATCCCTTTGCCATGTCACCAAGGGGGCGAAATCAGACGCACTCGTTGTCGGAGACGTTTGCAGAAAAAGGCTTACCAAAACAAAGTTACTGGGTTAATCTTTTTCACGTTTCCTTGGTTGGTAGATGCACCGGGGACCTGATTATAGCACTTAAAACCTGGAAAAGTCAGATTTTCATGATATGTCACCTTTAAGTCACTTTGCTGCTCAAGTAGATGCATCTTAAATTTAAGAATGTTTAGATATTTGTACTGGAAAACAAGACAAAAATACTAAGCAAGAAAATAACATTTTCCAGCATATTTTACCGACCAATGGCAGAAAAGGTGTTTAAGTGAAGTGAAGTGAAAGTGACATGTGGCCAAGTATGGTGACCCATACTCGGAATTGGTGCTCTGCATTTATCCCATCTAAAGTGCACACACACAGCAGTGAACACACACCCGGAGCAGTGGGCAGCCATTTTTGCTGCGACACCCAGGGAGCAGTTGGGGGTTCGGTGCCTTGCTCAAGGACACCTCAGTCGTGGTATTGAAGGTGGAAGAGAGCGCTGTACATTCACTCCTACAATCCTTTGGGTTACGAGTCCGACTCTCTAACCATTAGGCCACGACTTCCCCACCGAGAAACCAGTTTAAAAACATTCTTTCATTATTTCCATTTGGTGCCCCCCAAATCTTTCAGAAATTACACACTTCATCTTTAATATCGTGCATGTCTTCTGTAGAAGCATGATAAATTACAGAGA